TGCAAGTTATTTCAACTAGGTCCATAGGAAAGTTTCATCTGACATCTTTCCATTTTGTTTTCATTCTAACCACATGACACAGAGCTTTGCACTCCTAGAATATACGTCCAAATTTACGCTATGTCCATTCAACACACATAATGGTCATCGATCTGGCAAACAAACGGAACGAACAACACTAAGCAGGGGCTAGTGTATTGTAACACCTGAGGTATGTGAACTTTTGTATCTTAAAAACACAAATCATAGAATCATAGACTTGAAGGTCAGAAGGGACCATTATGATTGTCTAGTCTGACCTGCACAACGCAGGCCACAGAATCTCACCCACCCACTCCTGTATCGAACCCCTGACCTATGTCTGAGCTATTGAAGTCCTCAAATCATGGTTTAAAGACTCCAAGATGCAGAGAATCCTCCAGCAAGTGGCCCATGCCCCAGGCTGCAGAGGAAGGCGAAAAACCCAAATACACATAAATCTAATGTACATTAAAGGGTTTAAGTCTCTCCAAGTTAATACTGGGCCTGACCATACATTCACTGAAGTCCACCGCAAAACTGTTGCTCCCAGTGATCTGTCAAGGTCAGCTTGCTGTACTGTGCAGTCCATCAGGACATGCTGACTTTTATGCACATGCGTTCAGTGAACTAGCCTGTTTGCTGAGCACTTGAAGGGAAAGGGTAAGCAACATACCCAACATATCCTTACCTCAAAAGGTAAGCAACATACAGTGAAAACTGACTCTTGTCTCCATCAGACATTCACCTATGCATCCAGGGCTATCCAGCACAAGGGCTATACCTCACTTACATCCCATTTAATCAGGAGTAAGGGGCCAGAACAGGCACAACCTAAGTGGGACTGAAGTGATCAGGTTGGTCTTCAGTACAGGGGTGAATTCTGCCCACTGTAAAAAAAATCTGTGACTCCAATTGATAGGAATATTCCGGTTCCCCCCACAGTAAACTAACTGATTTATAACACAGTGGTGCAGAATATAGCTGAAGCATTTACATTGCTGAAGGTTTTGAACAGGAGACTGCAAATCCCATGTTGCATCAAGTTAAAGGCGCATTGGTACAGTCTGCTGTTTAACAAAACCTCAGTATGTTCAGTGCATGGTGAAAGTCCCCTGAAAAATCAACACATGAACCCGGGAATGCTAAATGCTGTCATTGGGCAGCTGTTTTTTATTGTGTTACTGAAAGAAAATCAGGGGAACCTTACAGAAGGGTCTAATCCAGGGGTAGGCAACCTATGGCACGCATGCCAAGCTGATTTTCAGTGGCACTCACACTGCCCAGGTACTGGCCACCAGTCCAGGGGGCTCTGCATTTTAATTTAAATTTTAAATGAAGCTTCTTAAAAATGTTAAAAACCTTATTTACTTTACATACAAAAATAGTTTAGTTATATATTATTCTCAGCTCTCTATGAGCTGAGGGGTGACAACATTATCTAGACTTATAGAAAGATCTTCTAAAAACGTTAAAATGTATTACTGGCACGCCAAACCTTAAATTAGAGTGAATAAACGAAGACTCGGTACACCACTTCTGAAAGGTTGCCGACCCCTGGTCTAATCCTTTACCCCCACATCTAGAAACTGTCTCCAGAGAACAAATAGCTTATCAAGATCCCCCCTTACCCTTTGCTGAGCAAATATTTAAAATCACCCTTGTAAAATTCTTCTCCTCCATTCTCACGTCACTTAAAATGGATGCATAAAACATAATTAGTTTTAACCCCAGTGTACAGGTAGGCAAGTAGATTTTAGTTTACCTTGCCTAGGACATTTCAGAAGGATTTTGAGAGGCTGATATGGATCATTTCAAAAGCTTGCCAATACATGCAGTTGATTTACTGGGAACCGGATCTTCCAGGACTGACTTGCCATTTCTTTAGGCCGCGATAATTACTTGTCACTGAATGGAAAGTGTTTGTGTGTCTCCATCCTGGAATAAGAGACAAATACATCCTAAGTAAATAATTATCACAACCATTCAGAATCTTCCATGTAAAAGCTTTTTCAAGAAGCAAACAGTGCAGGTAGCCAGTCACCTCTTCTATATATGTGATAGGAATAGCCAAAACAGGGAATTTTAGTGGAATTCAAACCTTTAATTTAAAATACATTAACCCATGAGTTTAATTAAAAGAAACACAAATAAACTAAGCCCATCCCTCTCTGGATTTGCCGGTGCATTCTGTTCCGTCAGGCGCCCATCCTGCAACTGGATCTGCTGGTGATACCTTGCACCACCAGAGGCGTTTAAACCCAGAATCTCTCCAACTAAAAGGATGAGCCAATCCTGCTTTTTAGCCCCTGTTGCATTCAAAGACTTAAGGGCCTTGATCCTGCTCCCAATTAAGTCAATAGAAAAACTCCCATTAACTTCCCCAGTGCAATATCAACCTCTAACAACAAAAAGGGGCTAGGGTGACCAGACGCCCCGATTTTATCGGGACTGTCCCGATATTTCCTTGTTTGTCCCGCGTCCCGACCGACATGCGGTCGGGACACTGGACAAACAAGGAAATGCCCCGGAGCCTGGAGCCCGGAAGTGCTTGCACCCCCCCCCCCGCCCCGACTCCGCCCCTTCCTCCCCCGATTGGCTCCCTCCCCGAATCCCCGCCTCTTCCCTGGGCTCACCATTCCCCCTCCCTCCGCAAGCGCTGGAGGGAGGCCCGGGAGACGC